TGGCTCTTCGAGGACACCAACCTGTGCGCCATCCACGCCAAGCGCGTCACCATCATGCCCAAGGACATCCAGCTCGCCCGGCGCATCCGCGGCGAGCGCGCCTGAGGCTCCTGCCTGAGGCTCATCTCGTCCCTGAGCTCCATCCTCTACCCTAAAGGCTCTTTTAAGAGCCACCACATTGTCACTGTGAGAGCTGTGACACATCCATATTTGGTTCTTGAGTGCAAGAGCAAATCTTTTAAGTTGGGCGTTTTTGGGGGGGATTAGTTTATCAATGCTGCATTAGTATTCTGAGGAGAAGGTTCACATACTCTTAGTGAGCTTGGGAAACAGTTTCCTGCTCTAAGGAGTTAATTTGTGCACAAATTTTGAAAAGAAGCTTTCAGGTAAGGTGGTAACAAATACTTCTGATTTGATGTGTTGAGAGGACCATAAGCATTTATAAACAAGTTCTGTAAAAGTTTATTAATTTGCAAACACACCTTTATATCCCAGTCATTTTTCAAAGAATGCTCTTTATTTTTAAGCTATATGGAAAATGTAGTGGGAGCTAATACCTGGAAAATGCTTTTGAAAGGCACATTATTAAATAAAAGAATGGACCTTAATATACTCAGTTATTGCTCTTGTTGGAGAGAATAAAAAAATGAACAATGCTGCTGTTAGAGAGGTAACAGTCCTGCTTCTTCAGAAAAACTGCTAGGCTGAATTCATCACATAAATGGGGCTTAAAATTGCTGATATAATAAGCCTGGTGTCTACTAGCTTTAGTGGGAAGAATAAGAAGTGGTTCTGGCCGTTCTGGTCCTGCTTTTTAGTTTTGCTTTTAGGCTTCCAGGAATCAGAGTAGAGAGTAAGAGAAAGATTGCAAAGATGCCAAAGAGGAGAGGTGAATTACCCTGGGAAGTTGGGTTTCTGCACTGGCTGCACCTCCCAGCCCTGATTTAGGGCAAATTTAATGACCTTTGTTCAGGAGTGTAGCTGTCCAGGGCAAGGAAGCTACTGCCAGGCCTTGGAGATCGTCTCAATGCTGTTGAGAATTGAGAAAAAAAAAAAGCTTCATTTGTGATGTGATAGAGAAGAGAGAGACAGGGATATATGCAGAAGTAGGAGAAAATTAATATTTTAATTTGCTTAGTTAACGAACTATTTCATTTATTTAATAAACTTTTGTAGTCACTGATTTATATTTGATTTTTACTTCACTTTAATTTTCCAGCTGATTATATTATGCCTCAGAGACTAGCTAGTTGGCATCTCAGAGATGTCACCTATTCATCCACAAACACAACATTAAAGTCCTCATGATCTTCCTCCTTTGTTATCTACTATCCTTTCCTCTACACTTGATAATGTAGTCTGGCCTTCCAATGTGTGTTCCAATGTCCTTTTTTATGCTACAAAAATTCAGATATTTGAGTGAGGCATCTGGGGAGTCCTGCATGGGTCAGGTATAGTGTTTCATATTTACTACACAAGAAGAAAAGCATTGGTAGCTACAAGAAATAGCCACTGCATAACTTCATAGGTTGCAAAGCAAAAAGACTAGAAACCAGAGACCTCTGTTCTTATATGCCGGACATGAGGTGATGGCAACTGGCATATTGTATATTAAAATACTCCCCTTCTTCCAAAATAAAATTCTAGTTCATCTTTTTATGAAAGCATTAGTAAATAAATAAATAAATACGTCTGTACTGGACAGATGTAACATAATTTCTCTCTTAACTGGATATTATAGACCCCATAAGCATGTATGTATATGTAGTATACTTAGAGAGATAATATACACACATATATAATACAGATACACATATAGACTGTAACCACACAAGCACTTTTTTTTCTATTTCATGTTTCACATATCTATTTCATGTTTCACTAAACTGACTTAATGTTGTTACTCAGCTTTTCTTCACTGTTAGGGAAGTTCAAGAAATGACTAAATAAGGGAACTCGCTACATTGGTAACTGAATGATGGGGTCAGAGGTGTGAATAAAAGGGGCCTTTTCTGAAGGAGATAGTGATCCGGTTTTGCAATTTGGACACCTAGCATGCTCTACTCTTTCTTTCATTACTATCTGATTGTAAAATTAGGTCATGAAGGTCAATAAAACTATTGGGAAAAAGAAGGGCTTGTGGAGTAAAATATAATTATATATATATGTATGTGTATATACATATATGTCACAGAAAGCGAGAAGCCCTACTCTCTGCATTTTGCTACACTGAACAACTATTTTCATCCTTTCCTCCTACTCTCACGGATGATAAAAAATAAAACAAGAAAAAAGGTATTATTCCTTGAAGTCTTAGATCATATGTAAAATGCAAACAGCACCTCTACTAGAGGGATGTAACTATGGCTTACAAACCTCTAACGTTAACAGATGATCAATTAGCCTTCGCATGACTATTCAGCCTGCAATTGCCAGCAAATAGAGCATATCACTATAGCCTAAATAACCTCCGCAAATTTAGAGAGCCAGGAGAGATGATGTTTCCAGGACTAGAGTGAGAAATTACCATTACTATTTGTTATGAACCTCATTTTAAAAATCGGAATATTGCTACATTTCCCCATGTTATTCCTGTTGAAGCATCAGGTAAAAAGGGATGAAATTTTTCTTTATGTTGATGACATAAGCCTAACTGATAAATCTCTATGTGTGTACGTATGTGTGGGTGTGCGTGGGCTTGTGTGTGTAAAGATTTATTTTCAATGGTTATTATTATCATTGGTAATAAATCTGAAAAAAAAAAATTCTTGTGTACAACACTTTCGAATCTTACTTTCTGTCAACGTCACCTCCTGTAAAATCAGGTTCAGTGTTCAGTAAGCGAAGGCTCCGTCCTTCCTTGTGTGCTATGTGTGCGCTGAGGCAGGAAGGTCCCTCTTCATGGTCAGCTTTGCGGATACCGCGTTCATTTTGAAATAGAATTGGCTGATGACCTTATAACCGCTCAGGGAAGAGCAACAGAACCTTTACAGGCGGACGCCTTAGCCGGGTTCGTCCGTAAAAAAGAGCAATTTCAACGAGCTGCAGGAGGTTCCAGATGTTTCCTAGGGAGAGTGGTGAGAGGAACAGCAGGAGGGTCCCGAGGCGACCCGAGCGGCTCCTCTCTGCCCTTATCCCGCCCCATTGCCCTGAAAGCCGAGAAGCGGGGGCTGAGCAGGGGAAGAGGGATAGAGGCTGTCTATACACCAGGAAAAAAAGCAACCAGGGATACAAAGCAAAAGGAGGAGCGGCGGAAGGTGGGGAAGCGCGGAAAAAGCCCGGATGCACAATCCAGTTAAACCAAGAAATAAAATTAACAGTAAAAGAAAACTGAAGAGAGAAAACTGAAGACTGATAGGACACAACAAGGGCATTGCCCACTGACTCTAAATCACTATCACTATGTCTAAAATGATACAGCTCCTTTTACTGGACATGAGGTGGCTCTTAAAAGAGCCTTTGGGTCATTTAAAAGGAAATGTAAAGCTGTTGATATACTGTTCCCCCCTCCCCCTCCCCCGATATTTTTCTTCCTATTTGATTTATTTCATACAGAAAGGACAGCAAAACGGTGGACGCTCTGGCAAGAAAAGTTGTACTGAAAGACATCACCTTGTTTTCCATTATGGATAGAAAACATGTAATGCTCTATAGTCCTTAATAAATTAGATAATGACTGTAGAGATCAAAATGCCCTATATAATAATGCGAATAGGTTTTACACATGCCGTAATCTAGGCTGTGTTTTGCTCGATTCTGTTAAAACATGAAAGAGGGAATTATTTCTGCTAAATTTCCCATAGAAAAGCACCGACAGATAATACACTATCTGAAACAACGATCTTTACAAACCTTTACTTAGGACACTCCGGTCATTAGCAAACACAATAGTTATGAAAGTAGCGTTAACAGCTCCTTTTACTGGGCATGGAGTGGCTCTTAAAAGAGCCTTTGGGTCTATGCGGGCTGCTCCGGTGTCTGCCAGCACCCGACAGGCGGGAGCGGGAGCCTCAGGCGCGCTCGCCGCGGATGCGCCGGGCGAGCTGGATGTCCTTGGGCATGATGGTGACGCGCTTGGCGTGGATGGCGCACAGGTTGGTGTCCTCGAAGAGCCCCACCAGGTAGGCCTCGCTCGCCTCCTGCAGCGCCATCACGGCCGAGCTCTGGAAGCGCAGGTCCGTCTTGAAGTCCTGCGCGATCTCGCGCACCAGCCGCTGGAAGGGCAGCTTGCGGATCAGCAGCTCCGTCGACTTCTGGTAGCGCCGGATCTCGCGCAGCGCCACCGTGCCGGGCCGGTAGCGGTGCGGCTTCTTCACGCCGCCCGTGGCCGGCGCGCTCTTGCGGGCCGCCTTGGTGGCCAGCTGCTTGCGCGGCGCCTTCCCGCCCGTCGACTTACGCGCCGTCTCG